TGGACATTGATGTATTGTGCAAGTTGGTAAAAATTTGCTGTATACATGTGGCCTGTGACCTTCTGTGCCCTTCCCTCCAACGCATCTTACATGAAACCAACCATCTCCTCAAGCTCGCAGCCTTTGGTGTCAGATAGAGAGTAGTAATATCTACCATGGTTGTTTCTCACGGGAAGGCGCACTTGCACGTGGTTCCTCTCTTTGCTGTGGCTCAGTTGGTGTCCTTGGCTGCATTGGGAACTCCTTGTTACAAACCCATTGAATCAGCTGTGTGCTTCACAGGTTTTTCGCTCAAATCACATTGCAAATGCACAAGTAAGCAACTTACACCATCATCAACATTACATTATCGTTATTACTTATAGTCACGAACCTGCTCCGTCATCGGCGCCAGAAAGCGAGGTGCACCACGGCGGCAGTCCCTTCCAGTTTGACTCATGGGCCTTCGCTCTTTGCAGCGTCGCGCCACACAGCAACCCAGCCGTCCATTTCTTGGATTCGTACTTGGGGACCATCCTTCATCAATTTCTTGGGGTTGTCCACGTGTGTACGCGTCACGAACGTCAGTCAACGTCATGGTACTGGCCGTGACTGGTGTTCTTGACGCGCAAACAGTGGCCATCCCTGCGGATCACTCTTGGAAACCTCAGGGTTTGGGTAACGTAAACTTCCTGGAGCCCGAGTCACGGCGTAGTGAGGACGGCCAAGCCCCCACTAGCCAAGTCAGCGCCCTTGCTGTGGCAGACCTTCTTGACAAGTACAGTAGGGGGTAGCGCCCCACAATAGCGCCCCCTTTTTGGCTTGTCACCATTTCTGTAGTGCTTTATGCAGCTTCGCTGCGCAGTGGGACCTCAAACTGGTATTGTGGACATCCAAGAGAGGTGTCCAGTAGACGGACGCCGCGGCGGCCGACCGTTTCTGTAAACTTGGCATATCGCGGAAGGGCGGACGCCACGTCTGGTGCTGGGCCGTTGACCGGCGTTGACCATAGAATGGGCAATCGCGGTACTGCGCAGGATCGACTTAACCGACGTGTGTGGGTGGTGCGAGGTGCGTAAAGTGGTGTTTTGCGACTTCACCTCACGGTGGGGGCGTGGGCGGCGGCCCACAATCTGTTTGGATGGTGGGCGCTGTGCCTTAACAGTTGCGTTAACACGGGGGGAACGCTGGATAACGCGTGGATACTCTATCCATAACGCCCCCCACGTTACGGATATTTGCAGAAATGCTCAGCACGGGGAGCCGTTATCCCCCGTTCTCTACGGTATGACGCACCCATGCCTGGTTGGGCGCAATCCGCATTCATAATGCAGGCAATGCTGTGCAAGACCACGTGATGAGTTGTGACAGGCACCATGTAACATCAATGCAATACCCAAACACGGTGTTCCACTACTGTAAACCGACAGCACATGGTACACACGTGTAATGGGTCAATTTGGCATCTCAACAGGCCGTTACACGGTCAACGAGTCTATTTTGGGTCTTCTGGGCATTTCGCGGGTGGATTTCAAACTGAGATTGAAAAACTATGGTTAGCAAAAATAGGTGCTAAACTTTACAAAAGTTACTCTAAGATGTTACTTTCCTTGGAGGGGCACACAGGATGTCTCTTTCCCTGGTGCAGCATAGAGCTTCTAGCCTATGCATACTCCTTTGCTTGAAGATTGGCGCATGTTTTATGAAAGTACCGAATAGCCATTTCTGTGATTGAATCCTGGTATGGAATTTGGCTTTTGAGGTAGTTTTCGATCACACTCATGTTTGTTGAGGACAACATGAGCTTGATGAAAGAATGTCCTGCAATTCACATAGAGATGCCTTGGTCATAGTGTCTTGTCCGCAAGATGCAAGGGTGTGTTGTGGGGAAGTTTCGGATATGTGTTTCCCGAAGCTTTACAGCATTGTGACCGCCCTCTACTTTCACTTTGGCTTGCAAGATTTGTTGTACTTGCACTTTGCAGTGGGGGCGTTTGGAAATGACCATATGCGGCACCTGCGTAGTCAGAATCATGTTGTTTTGAATTCTGAGTGAAAGGGAAGCTGTGGCATGTTCCATACGTTGGCTGCACCTTAGTGATGAGGTGGCATGGGGTTGAATTGTCGTATGGGCATTTGTGATTGATGACAATCCTTGGGAGTGAAAAGAGTGGATGAGTGGTTGTGAAAAAAGGAATTTTGAGTGGGGGTCGTTGCCGGCGGCGGCGGCAAGACTCTGTTGTGGGAAGGGCGAACAAATATGTAAGCCCAAGGCTGCTCGTCTGTGAGTTTGGTCCAAGGATGGCCGCAGCGGACTCCAAGGGAGCGCTGCAATCACCAGCTGCCAAAGCGCACTCCAAAGGATGGCCTTGAACGGCCATACCTTCAACAGAGTGTTATTTTATGACTAAAATTACAATTAAATACATTAAGCAAATATGTTTTAAGCGCCCCCGGCCTCCAATAGCGCCCCCTTATCGGCCATGTCACGGTGAGGCGCAATATAGGGACCCCTACTGCAACCAGTGGTTGTCCACTGTGTGTGGTTGGAAACCGTTGGGTTTGGGCTACGTAAACCCCATGCAGGCCTACGCTCGTCGCTATGCCGTGGATGCAACGTGTCGGCTCCAACCGCCACCACTAGTGAGGCACCACGTCATACAGGCTCACGTACGTGGGTCCAGCCAGACCGTCCCGCACAGCAGTGCCCACAAAGGCCAGCTGCAGGAGACACTCGACTGCACAAGACACTCGCCAAAGCTATCCGACCCTGTTCCCCGCTGCTCGGACGCTCCCAGAGTCCCCGGTCCGCGCCATCATGCTGAAGGGCAAGTGGTGCCTGGTGACGGGCGGCGGTCGCGGCATCGGCCGCACGATCGCCCTCGCCCTCGCCAAGGAATCCGCGTCCCTGGCCCTGACGGCCCGATCGCTGGAACAGCTGGAATCCGCGGCCGCTGAGTGCAAGGCGGCCGGCGCGCCGGAGGTGGAAGTCTACACGGCTGATGTTACGGACCCCAAGGCGATGGACGGGCTGGCGGCGAAGCTGTTGGAGAAGCACGGATGCGTCTCAGTGTTGGTGAACAATGCCGGCATCCTCGCAAATGGGATGAGCGCTCTTGAGGGGGACCCCGATGAGTGGGAGAAGGTGCGGGGCGGCGAGTGCGTTTCTGTGTCTGCTCTTCGTTTACCGTGTCTCTGTTGTCCTTGCGCTTTTTTGTTTGTCCTGTGTTTCGCTTGGGGCTAGGGTATGCTCGTTGGCATATACACATATATATGTACATATGCTACAACATGTTGTAACGCCCCTGTGGACCGCTGGCAACAATTGCTCTCTGGATGTTTCGCTCGTTTTTGTTTTCACGTTTCGTCTTTTGTCGGGCTGAAACGGGAGTCCCTGTGAGGAGGAGTAGACTCTTTGGCAGGAGGGTTTAGGCGTCATGACGGAACTTTCCGACTTCGTATTATGTGGAAGGGCGCTCACTTGTCATGATTTGTAAAACGAGGATTCATTCCAGGGTGCGCGTAGAATATTCCGAGAAACTGAGGGCCGCCACCTTGTGGTGGTTATCGACTTTCTTAATTACCGGCCATCGATAGTGAGCTTATGCTTTATATGAAACTCATTCTGCCGTGGGCATCAACAGGTGGCGCCGCAGCACAACAAGCGCTGTCCATTCTGACACTTTGCCATATATTGGCAGCAGGCTATACGTACCCAGGGATGGCCTTGCGATTCATGCATTCAACCGAGGACGTGCAGTATTGGCTCGCTTGGACCGCCCAGGTCGAGCAAGAGCGGGAGCTCGCGGAAGGGGGGTTCAGCAGAGTTCTGGCTCTCGGTGTTTTTTGAATTTTGTTTCTGCTGGACGTAGCCTGGTAACAAAACTGCGTTTTCGAGGAGTAGAAGAGAGTTCTGCACACATTCTGTTTATGGGCAAGCATAGTGCATTTGGGCTTCAGCGTGGCGAATTGGGCGGTCTGCACGTGCCAAATCATGAACTCCAAATGTTGTTGTCGCCACAGTGGCTGTTGCATGCGCAGGGAATGGACTTCCCATGTTGTTTGTTCGCAGTGCAGATGAATATTATTTGCCAAAGCTTTTGCAGGCAAAATTTTCCAGCATTTTGCGCTTGGGCTGCTGCTAAAAATCTTTACGCAAACGTTTTCGCCGTGTGGATTTTTTTGGTCCCCGTACTTTTTAATCGTTCCCCCGTGACCGTCGGGGCACTTGGGCTCCCATAGCCTATTGGCTTACAAGGCGGCAACTGCATAGTGTGGCGCTCTTCACTAGTAGCAGCACAGAGCACATGCGCACCACTGTGACCAAGTCGATGCACAATCAGCCTTTGCTAGAAATGCCTCTGTTGGCCACACAGTGCGGTAGACTGATCCCGTTGACTACTGTAGAGGACCTGAAGTACAAAATGTTGCTGCTGTCTGCCTGCTCTCTGCCCCTGTCCTTGGTCAAGTGCTTGAAGCACCTCAACACTTCACTGCCACAGTTGGAGATTAACCAACTTGTAGCTCATGCTGCCAAAGCCCGTGCTCAGGGGAAGGTTGCTGTGGATGGCAGCTGGGGCAAGCAGGGTGCACAGGAGTTTTGCCATCCCCTTGTTCACCTGGGGCGCGAGGAATAGTCAGTGCACAATGGCTAATACCAGGTTAAGCTATACTTTGGCAGGAAATGACTTCCACACGCCAGAGACTTTTATGTGAAAGGAATGTGCATGGGGGAAATTTGGTACAGCATTTGGTGCACAAGCATGTTGCAGTGTACAGCAAAGCACACTGCGCAACATGCAGTAAAGCAGAGCAGATAAGCAAAGGGCGGAGCAATATATTCCTACAATATTGTTGCACTTGTGTGGATTATGTTGAGCTGCAGTTAAATGTGCTTTGCGACATTGTGCATAATTCTGTAGTTTCTGATATGTGCTGTGCGTGATGTTGTGTGTGTCTGTTGGTGATTGCAGATGATGGTGGCAGACCTTACAACTCCAATGCGGCTGACGCGCCTCCTGGCTCCTGCCATGGTGGAGCGCAAAGATGGCGCGATCATCAACATCTGCTCCGTCCTTGGCGTGGATCCCAGTTCTTTTGCAGCAGCCTACTGTGCTGCCAAGTTCGGCCTGCGGGGCTGGTCACTGTCCTCCCACGAGACCCTCCGACGTAGCAACGTGAAAGTGGTCTGCATCAACCCTGGACTTGTGCGCACCCCGCTGGCAGGGTGAGCATCTTTCACTGGTGGCAAATGGCCAAAAGCGCACTGTCTGTGTTTCATGACTTGGTAACGTGTCAAGGCAGGCTGCTTTGCTTTTACTTCCTCCGTCCCATATTAATTGTCGTCTATGATTTTGAAACGTTGTTTCACTATTGTGCCTGCATTATTTTGTAATGAAATTTTCCCTAAAGTTGTTTTTGGGAGGTTGGAGTGTACCATGAAAATTTCAAGTCGATCCATTAAGTTTTGAGGATTTGGCAGTACTTTGTAGCAAGGGTCCTCTGGCCAGAAAAGGGTCGTTTCTGGACGTTGCGCCGAAAACAGCTGTTTTTGGCTGTTTTGAGGAGCACTCCTTCATGGCAGCGAAACAAACTCGTCCTTGCAAAACTATTCATGCTGTTCAGAGTGGAGGTCATTAGGGTGCTTGCAAAGAGGTATGGTGATAGAAAACGTGTTTCGAATGCATTGATCGTCGAACTCGCTGTGGTTTGCACCATTAATTTAGGCTTGATCTGGGGGATCAGAGTGACGTTTCAGACGCAAAATTTTTTGGTCAAGGCTTTTCGAGCTCTTTTGCCACTGTCAAAGCAACTGAGGGAGGTCTCCCAATCCTTTCAACTAGGAGCCGGAGATGGTAATGGCTATCACCTCGATATGGCACGAACAATTAGATGAATTGGCAATTGCCACGGGAATGGCGACATGTCCTTGTTTCGGAACTTTAGAGGATTGGGTGCAAGGGGGATGGCCACAAAGGTGAATTCGGGTCTTCTAGAGTGATGGAGTCTTGCTAGGTTCCAATGGATTGTGTACCGCGCACAAGCATTTGGCACTATATCCACAAACAATGGCAATTTGGGGGCTTCCAGCTTAGGGGCCCATGCAAGTCCCGATTCAAGCATCAACTAAGGCGAAATATCCGAGCAAGGCTACCAAACAGCCTTGGAGCGACAGAACGCACTGATCCTAGCTTCAAGGTTGTTTACGTTGGCCTTTCCGCTCGTTGGAGGTCCGCCCATCGGAGATCGAGAAAACCGGCGATTTTTGGTATCGTCAACACTGTGACGATGGCTGCTTGAGACAAGGATAAAGTCATGTTTGAATGTGTTTGGGAGGTGCTATGCCACGTGCTGGACCCTATCCTTTGCCCCAAAGGTGGCAACCATTGGCGTTGCAACCCCTAGGCACGGGAGCGCCCCCAAACCAGGGGGGCCTGCAAGACCGCGGAAATTGAACGCGCATTTTTTGGACTGTGTCAAGGCAATTTTAGGGGCCAGCTCATAGGCCTGAGAACTAAATATTTTTTTTTGAAAATTCGAACCTAAGGGTTTTGAGACCCAATCTTTCCGATTCTGACCTCCATTTGTAATTTGGATGCAGTTTTCATGACGAGATTTCTCTCTCAAATAGACGACAATTAATATGGGACGGAGGAAGTAGAATTCTTTTAAATCTGCATAAGCACCAAGACTGTGTGCACTGACACGTATATTATCTGTAGCATGTATATTGTGTGTATTATATTTGTAGTATGATATTATTTCACCATGCAGTGCTGCTCCGTTTCAACATGGAGATTACTTTTGCATGTTGATGCATTGACCATCTTTATGAAGGAGGTTAGTATCATTTTTGCATGTTTCGACGCAGTTGAAAAGAGCGCGCACTCCCCCTACATCTGCAAGCTGATGGTTTGCACTCTCCACCACTTTGCATGCTTTGCTCCTACATTGTTTGTGGCTGGGCACCAGGTTAACAAGTTCGTATGAAGCACATCAGAACACTGGCTGATTATGTGCCAGCACTCGTTCGTTGTAGCAGTGCTAATAGCCCCTCATTGTAACAATACGATGTGGTTTCTGGTACAAAATGGTGGCTGAAGACCAGGTTTCTGCTTTGATGTGCAAGGGGGATGCCTGGCGCGGTCCCAGAGGACATGATAAGCCCGGACGACGTTGCTGAGGCGTGTCTGCTGGCTCTGAGGACCAGCACAAAGTGCGTCCCAACAGAAATCACGCTCAGGAACGCGCAGAATTGTGGCTATATGTTGTACGACCCGACGGAGCTGATGATGGAGAAGATGGCTGCGTCCCAGAAGTGAGCAGTGGCAGCCACAACCGGCAAGATGCCTGATCGGCCTGCTGTGGCACACACACGGGTCCTTGACCTCGATTTCGTAGGCGAGATGGGTGGCAACTGATGTCGCAATGCACCTCGACATCTTGTACAGCATATGGTGCACAATGTGAAGGGGTTGTGGAATGTGGCGCAGAATTTTTGATGCAAGTACGCAAGGACAGCTTGGATTGGTGAATTGTAGACCGTCTCGATTTTCTTCAAGTGCGTGCGAAAACAGTCCGGTGCAGTTACAGGGCTGCGCACCATGTGATACGTCTATGCGGTCTTTGCGGTATAGCATGCCGTTGTAGAACGAATCTACACAACTCTTCATTGCTGCGGCTCAGAATCGCACATCTTTCACGGAAAGGCCGCACTGCAGGCCGTGCACCACATTGCGGCTGGCAAACAGGTCTGCACGCCCGTCCAGCAGTCAAACAACCAGGTCTTTGAGGTGTCCTGTGGGAATCACGCTGCTTCAACGCGCAGGCCACTATGAAACTCAATCAGGGACAGGAGGGCACATGCGGCATACCACAGTGCATCACCCCGTACGCTTAGGGAAGACGCTGCTAGCCAGGGTGACTCATCAGCATTACCTAACAATGCCACACAACTTCGAAACAGTTCTAAGGGGGGCAAAAGAGCAAAATCTGTAGCGATTGTAGTGATTTGAAGAATGGGATGCCAAAAGTCATGACAGGCGATGGGATCAGCACAAAAGCCTAAAAATTGACTCATTCTAGGGACTTCCTCGATGATTGAATGTTTGAAGGAGGTTTGGCAACAATTTATGAGCTATTTGCCAATGATCAGCGGCGTTTTTGTGCTTATTTTGATTTAGTGCAATTGCATAATCTCTTCAGGTCAATGGCGGATCCCCCACTCACCTACCCAACCAACATTAAATCAACTCTGAGTGTACAAGAATCAAAATAATGCCTTCCCCTAATCGGCGCAAAGTTAGGCTCTGTTGGTGACGCCACATAGTGACCACTGATTCTCTGGATGGATCATTGATGTCATTGGATGACGTTGGGTGTCCACCACATTCTTTGCATACGCTGCACGGTATGGCCCAGTAAGCCAACGTTGCTGTTAACAAAAGAAAAGAAAGACAAAGAAAACACTCCAAGAGTGGATTGTGGGCCACAAGATTGGGAACGAGGGATGTGGAGAAAGGGTAGGCAAGGGCTGGCCCAGGAAAAGGCCACCCTGCGCGGTCACAAGTCCTCTTCCAATGATCTGCTCCCCAGACTGGTCAACACTCATGTAATAGGCGAGGCTCTGGGCGGCAAATGCACGGGACGTGTGGTTGAACTGAGATGGCCGTGTCTGTCAAGCCATGATCTGAGACTTTGATACCACCCAATCCGCCTGAGCCGGCGTGTGAAGGAGTGTATTACGGGGATTCATATGGAAAACTGGGCTCATGTAAGGTAACGTCCAGGCTCGCTAGGAAAAAAAGCACCAAATAACATGTGTTCAAATGTGTACATAGCTTACGGGTTTGTGTAATTTTCCGGCTTTTAGCATGCAGAACACTGATGAAATGCACATACATGTGTTCGCAAAGAGTGATATCTGGTCCTTTTTTTTGCTAGTGGATACGGCCTGAAATGCACTTCAAGTGCATGTAATACATGAACTCGTATTTACGAGATCTGTGTGGCTGATCTCCACGCCCCTCTGGAGTGCACAAACGTTAGTGGGTGAGTTCGTGCGACGCGCTAGTAACCTTTGGCATCTCACCAAACTGCCCACGCATGCACGCGGGCCAAAGAGCTGACAACGCTCGAACATACCTTTCACTTGAATGCTGAGTGGTTATCATCATTTTAAATCCACGAACGACCATTGCAGTAAGCCAAGAATAGATAGCTTTCTCTTTTCTGAACAAGAATGAGATTGGACTCCGTGGAAAGTGGACCTGGTTGAGGGGTTGTAGGTTTCAGCCGGCCTGGTCTCCTGCTCTTCCCATCTCCCAGCACGCTTTCAGTAAACTTTGATACAAGGCGTAGCATTCAGTTGTACTTTGTGCTGCCAACATTTCTTGCAATGATGAGACCCCGTGCTCCCAAACGAAAATCATTACAGACTACATTTGTTCCAAACGTCTTGTCACGCATTCAATTTGTATTAATAAAAGTAAAAACTTGAGTGTCAGGAAGTATGACCAAAGTATTTTCGCCTTGCTGTATTACGAGCTATAGAGAGAGCCTTCAAATGTAGCAAATGGCGCCGCCGTTCTCAAGATATGTCAAGAAGGAACAAACGCGATTTTGCGTGGTGTCAGGACCTGTGGCGGTTCACGGTGGGCTAACCTTGGCCTTTGAAGGAAATAGATCAAAGTGAGCTGTCCCTAGGAGAGAAGTACAGTCTGGCGGTTTGGCATATACCGGAGATGTGGCCTAATTCCGAGCAGAATCCACACAGCAAAAGATACCAGTGCGCAGCAGAATTAACAAGAAGTTAACAAGAATTGTGCAAATGTTGTGGCCGAACGCCCGGCGACACTTCGATTTGTGCAAGAGCATGTCTTGTCAGATGATCCAAGGGTCGGCAGGCTGTTCGTGCTGATCATAGCCATAAACACGGCTTATGTTGAGGCCAACAAGGTCAATCTTTGAAATTGGAAATTTTACAATCATAATTTAGCACAATGACACAAAAGGTGTAACAGTGCGTAAATATTACCTACAATAAGATTGTTGAAGAATTTAGAGGAGCTGGGTTAGAACATATCGGGATAGGTTGAGCACAAAAAGCAGGGAATTTGTAACACTGACGGAAGTGGACAGGTACGGCTTTGGCAAGGCTGTGAGTTTTGTGTTGTGCAGCGATGACTAGTGGAACCGACATCCACATGAACCTAAAATTTAACAGGGATTCCAATTCTGGTGACGAATCGACCAGTTGTGTCGATCTTGCAAAGTCACGGCATGATTGGATAAGCATCAAGACTTTTGGAACGAACATAGTAGTGTTTTGGTGTCCTTCGCATCACTAATACAATACCCGAGGCAACCCACGTAAACGTGCCCATTCGCTTGGCAATACTTAATACAACACTGCAGGTGACTCAATCCCGAGTCAGCGTCCCCAATCTCGTGCTTAACTCGCTGTCAATCCCACAGCTAACCTGAACTCGCTTTGCCAGTGACCCGCGTACATATTCCAATGCATTAGGAAAAAGGGCCAAACAACACGTGTCCAAGTGTGTAACAAATTTACGGGCTTGTTTTGTTTTCATGCTTTTAGCATTCGCAACATTGATGAAATGCATTTCATATGCACTTGCAAAAAGTGTCATTTGTCCTTTTTTTGATGCAACGTTGTTCTCTTTTGATTTGGGGATAATTTTTGCACGAAAACCGCTTGTCTTATGCAATTGCCACAAGTTTGAGTACAGGCTTTTCACCTGGCAGTAGATGTCTTGCACTATCTGCCTCAAGGGATGCTTTGTTCCCATATTATTTGTGCTAAGTGAGGCCAGTAAAATGCGAGCTCAATGCATCAATGCACCGGAGGACAATGCGCCACTCATCGTTAGCTGTAGCAATGCAAACAATGCCACATTTTCGCCTTACACTGTGGTGCCTGGCATTAATTGGCCGCTGAGCATCAGATGCATGGTTTGGTGAACAAGAGGCAAACCCGGCACGGTCCTAGAAGAAATGGCAACCCCGGGCGGTATCGCTGAGGCGTGTACGCCGTCACCGAAGGCTAGCACAAAGTGCGTCCCATCGGAAATCATGCCCAGGAACTTCAATAATTGTGTCTGTATGTTGTACGATCGGATGGAGGTGATGATGGAGAAGATGGAAGCTTCGGAGAATTGATTGGTGGCTACCGCAATTGTTGTTATCATTATTACAATTGTGTTTATCACATTATGTGGCTGGTTGAAACCAACCTGCTGGGGCACACCCGTATATCCTTGACCACGATTTCATGGATGGATGATGATGGCAACTCATGTCAGGATACACAGCATGGTTTTTACATAAGATGCACAATGTGCGGAATGTGCAATCTCGGAGGGGACTTTTGATACACCTATTGACAGTTATTGCTTGAAATACTGAAATTTCGAGGGCCATAACCACATCAAATCTTTGGGATGGTTTGGTTCTCCAATCTAAAGCGCAACACAGCAGCATTTTAGGCTGTTGCCAGACCCAATAACATCATGACTGACGATTTTTGGTCAAATGCATTGCGATTATTTTTATTCCTTCTATCCGCCAGTCGCCATTTGGCGAGAAACTGGCAATCAACATGCAAAAAGTCAGTCGTTGATGAGAGAAGCAAGAAGCTGCTCCGCAGAACATCGGACATTTTACAGACATCAATGTAGAAAGGACGGCAGCAACAGCGATCTGGCAGTGTCCACACAACAAACATTTGGATTAATCCAGCCCAATGTTCGAGCACACTTACCAAAAGAATCAATCTAAGGCCCCCAAGAAGAGAAAACGCCTCTAATGCTTCCCAACTTAGAGAAACTCCCGTCTTAATCCCTTAAGTTTCCACTTCGGAACTCCACGGTGGAGTTCCACTGATGGTGGCCATCAAGCCAATGGCGCAGCACTTTACAAGTCGCGAACGCCCCAAGGCCGCTTCACCAGGAATTTACACCAAGTGGTTTCAACAATAGGTACCCAAGATTGGTGTCCGGCGACAGTCTGACCAATTAGTCAGACATTCGAAAATTAACGCCTTGAAGCGATAAGAACCCCAATTCTATGGGGCTCTTTCAATAACATATGCGCGACCAAATTCCCAAACGCCCGCTCCTCGTGGCATCCATTGGGCGGCTGCGGTGCAAGGGGCGGGCGACAGCGCTTTTCACAATGCGAAAAAAATATAGTGGCCGCTAGTGTCGTATGGGCTATGTGCTTGGGTGGCTATTCCGCATTATTTATTGCTAAATTTGCTCATCACCATTGTTTGGGTTCTTTCATACAGTTGCAATGGCGT